ACCTCCAAGGACTGATCCTATCAATCCATAGAAGAGCAATCTGATTGTACCCTCAATGCTGAAGGTACCAAGGTGAATTCACTTGTGTTGCGAGTTGCGCAAATGCTTTCAGCTTCAGTTGACATTTTTCAAGCTTTACTTCTCAAGACCAAGGATCTAGTCACCAAATACCTCCAGCTATCCAGAACTCAAGTCCTCGCGCAAGCGTGTTGCCCTGGATGCTTTGGACCGAGGGGAACTCCCAACACCGGCATAATTCAAAGGCTGGTGGCAATGCCCCTTTGACTATCCCCCCCAATTTCGGTGATGTCATGCCCCAAAGATATAGCTAACCTGGCAAGTGGCGGTGAGCCAGTAAGTCCAAGTTGCTCACAATTTCTCACTGTTTTTGTGATTTTTTTGCTCACAATGGAATGGTTGCCTCAATACCATGAAGCTCAGGTGGATACTTGTGCAGAATCACACAAGGCTGCAAACAACAAGCGCTCTGAATCCACCTGGAAGGGCTGTGATGATACGGGGGTTTTGTTGCCAGCATGACCAGGTGGTGTCCTTGGCAAACATTCATTGCTCTGGGGAGCAGAGGTGCCTCCCACTGGTGTTGCTCAAGAAACTGTTTGATGATATTGCATCTGCACACCTGGTTGGAGTCCTGTACAACATTGGATGCTTGTTGAAGAAATTCCTTGATTGGGTGAGTCTCACAGCCATTTGTCAAGACCAACCACTGAGTCTAAGTATAAGCTGATGGTATGTGATATGTGCTTGTTTAATTCAGCGCAATTACTTTGCCTTTCCATTGAAAAAAGACCTGCTCAAATTTGGCACCTCCGTCTTCCATGCATATGTGCATGAATGGAAGTGCCAGGTACAGTATAATCCACGCTACAACGATGTCTGGGGTCTATCTGATGGCAAGGGTTTGGAGAGGCTCTGGTCATGTCTTTCACCACCTGTACAAACCTTGAGATACTCTTCTCGTAATCATTGCTTAGCAGCTCTCTCCCATCAATGCCAGTTCCACAATTCCAAAGGTCGGGATAGCATTAGTTAGTACATTTCATCAATTCTGATTGGATCAATCACTTCCTGTTGTATTGACTTATGATTTCTGGGTAGTTTTATGGCTTCGGAAAAAGACCAAAGTGGCCCAGACAACAAGCAAAAGAAACTGTATCAGAATTATTACAACAGCCAAATCCTTTCCTGAGCAGTGGTACCAACTACACAAGGGCGTTCTTCATGAACCAATGGGAAGAACAGCTTTGTGACAGATTAGGAAACCAAAAAGCGTAAGAAGCTTACCAAACTGTTGGAAAAAGAGCTGTTGTTAAACAAACTCCGGTCCGTACACTTGGTTTGATTATTTCTGACTGACCCAACCCATTTGCCAGTGATGTATTGGAGACTAGGGATTGGGATATCCAAGCAGAACTCATTGAACATATACAAACAAAATCAGTGCTACCAAGGTGACTCAAAGAGAACTGGCTGAGCAGTTGGGCAGTATGTATAGTGCTAATCCAATTGAATGTAAGTGAGATGATAAATCAAATCACATTACAATAAACACCCTAACTTTTTTGTCAGTCAATAAGCAGAAATGCAAGTTGCTCATTTGGGGAGCCATGCGAGAGCTGTATGCAAAAGCAGTGGATATCAAGGGGGCCATCAGCCTATTTCTGAAAGCCAAACACGTGGACGACGGGTTGGGACCAAGCTGAAGGAAAAAAGATATTTGAATCAATTGATAAACGGAAGACTACTGTCCTTTGAATAATTGCAAAGTACAATCAATGCAAACAAGCGTATCTGGAGAAGTACAAGCCTGAGGTTTTCTTTGCAGCTTTAACTTGGGATGTGTTCAAGTGTCTGAGTCTAAACAACTCTTTTTGGTACGACACAGCTTATTGTGGTTCCAATGCTCCCTGGGTGGTCTCTTTGGATGTACGCAAAGGCATTAGGACATGCCACATGGTGGATCAAACTGAAGGGGAGTTGGATTTGATTGCGCAGGAACTTGGCCGGGCTATGACTTGGGCAGTTGAGCTCAACTCCCAGCTGGATACACTTGCAACCCAAATTTGTGAGCATCTTGCTACCTTGTTTCATCCAGAATATCACTAACTGGCTGCCTTTTTGCCAGATAATCTTCCTCCTGACTTCAATATAGCAGTGACATCAACTCGGGTTGGTACGCTAGACCTGAAAACAGGCCAGCAGGACCTCAGGTTTGAGCTTTTAATGCAGCTCAGGGACCATCATGAGATGATGCAAGCATTGGCAAGTGATGTTGAATGGTTGTGGAGCAAGACTTGTGTAGCAGGTAGCTCACACCCTTGGTTTGAAATCGTCGGTCGGCTGAAAATCTATCCTGATCCAATTGTGGAACCTGCCTTATTGTATTTTTTGTCCTAACTCGATGACAGCTGTTTCAAGTACATTAAACATTTGTTTCCCTGATTTTTTCTTGCATCAAAACATGTCTTTGCTACTCAACTGTCCATGCAAGAATACCCTGCTGGTTGTGTTGGGTTATGAGAATCTTTCATTTTTGGTTACTATTTGTGACCAAACACATCAATTGAAAACCATGCTTCTTGAACACAAGGAAAAAAATCGCCAGGTGTATGGTTGATGAACCATGCAATTATGAAGCCCAAAGCAACGACAAGGCAAGCAAGAAACTATGAAGTGTGAATTAATGTTTTATTGGGTGTAGGTGCTACCAGGACATAGTTCTGTTTATGTATGGAGGTGTGTGTGATTTGAAGGGCAAGAGTGGAATAAGTTGATGTAGCAAGGGTTCATTGGACTGTAAGGGCTCTTGTATTTTTATAAGGGTGAGCGGTGGTGTGGGTGGATTGCTGAAGGTTGGGAGAAAAAATAGGCGACTTGGGCGAAAAAAAGGTCAGGGTGGCCGAGTTTTGGTGTGGAAGCGCGGCCCTCTAGCTCACCTGACACGTGTATACCAGGTAGTTTAGGTATTGTGTAATTATACACCCCTCAGGTGAAGTGGACAGAAGGGGAAGAGATGCATACCCGGTCAATGTGGAGGCCTCAGGATCGTACAAAATCAAATATAAGGTCCTAACAAACTATCAAATCAAACAAGGAATGATGAAGGTTTAGAAAGAAATAAGCACAGTAGAATGAAACAAGCGCTGATGAAGGTGTCAAGTCAAATAAGTTAAGACATAGACCAACTCATTTTTGAGGCCTAAAGATACCACACAATTGGACAGTAGTCTTAGCAAACAATTGAGTCAAACAAGTGTTGACCAAGGCGTAGAATCAAATAAGCACCATTGAATGAAACAAGCGCAAATGATTGAATCATACAAATAATGATGAAGGCAAAGAATTGCATAAGCACAATTGAATGAAACAAGCACAAACAATTGAATCAAACAAATGATGACAAGACTGTAGAATTGAAAAACTATTGAATCAAACTGAGTAGTAAAGACACATATGTACACACTCAATTTGGAGGCCTAAAGAAGCAACACAGTTGTATCAACAATGAAACAGATCCAATCCCCGGATTAGATCAAAAATGGATCCAATACCTAGTATTGGGATTGTATCAATCTCCAACCCAATATGTGGTCCATTTTTTATCTGATCCCCAAGAAACACCAATCTGGAGATTGCATTGGTTACACTTTGGATGATACCAAAGTGTAAGGCACGCGGCCCAGTGCTTTTGGGTGATGAATTGGGATTGCAATGCAATCCCTATCCCAATCCGATACCACAGGATTGGATTGCTAGGGTAATCCAATCCCTTAATTTTTGATAACTGGTATTGAAAAACGGATCCAATCCAAATTGGCCAATACTGTATCAGATTAGATTGGTTTCACCGTTGATTGCATAGCCGTCCTGGCAAAAAATTGAGTTGGACTACAGTTGTAGAAAGCGTACATAGAGAATCAGAATGTTGAACTAGGTCAAATAACAAACAAGGACAAGATTGTTACACTCACTTCAATTGGAGGGGTAGAGATCAAACCTAATTGCAAAGGGACTTTTGAGTTTGTTCCAATGGAATAAGAGCCGATAGTGAGCTGTGATGATTGAAGGAGGTGGATCAAACCTATTTGAAGACAAAGGCAGGTGAGCAAGTGAAACTCAACTGAAGTCCCCAGGTAGGCACCAGCGCTCTGTACTCCCAACCTTACCATAACATATTGCCCAAAACTATCACTTCCCCAGAGACATTGTAAAGCATGTGAATCTTTCTCACTTATATCATCATTTCACAAGTAATTAATCCACTTGAGCGCAGAAAGAGATTTTGAAACAGGGAATCAGTCTACATGTTGTCCAGGGGCAACTTTCATCAAGTCTATCCCTCTGCACACCCTGTACTACCAACTGACCTCCCCCACCACCACTCTGCACATTGTATGTATATGTTTCTTACTTGTATCATTTTATCTCATGGAACAGGGAAATTACTTCTTGTCAGTCTATCTGAAGTCCGGGGACCCCTTTCGTGAAGTCTATCCATCCAAAGAGTAGTATTGCAATGCATTGCACTAAATTCATTCATCTCTTCAGCCGCTACATTGCCCAGGACCCCCTGAGGTGAAATATATAACTTCACTGGCTGCTGGAAATAGGCCTCTGAGTAATCCCATGTCCATTATGACAAAAATCATTTCACATGTCCATGATACACATAGGACTTTGTGCACAGGCTCAAAAATAAGAGGTTATGAGGGAAAAAGGAGGAAAGCCAAAGCAAAGGCGTAAAAAGCCAAAGACATTGAAGGGGCAGGCTGTGTCCCAAGATACCAAGCAAGCAAGTCAATGATTCATTGAATCCATGTAGCCCCAGCCAAATCCTCCCAATTCCTCTGAACTATCCTGTGAGCTCTATCCCACTGGACCCCTCAATAATGAAAATTGCAAGCAATATGTAGGAAGAATCACCCTGGACCCAGTTGACCCTGAAGTACAAACTTTATCCCAGTATTTTGAAAACCAACATGTCCTCAAAGAGCAACAATGGGAAGACGTATATGGACCAATGTTCTCCTTGTTTTACAATTGTGCAGCAAACTCGGCCAACTGGGGTGATGTCAAAATATGGAACAGTGATTGGAAACCAACATGTGGCTGTATTGCGACCTGTCAAAGACCTGCAGTACTCATGGATATCCTCAGGTAAGCACTCCACTTAATGCTAGATTTGTTTTTGTCAATGCACTAGTTTGACCTTGAGATATTTCAGGTCATAAAGATGAGCACATTGACTTCTGCCACTGCCAGCCGTACCAAGTAAGGCTCATCCAGATGGGGTACATTGGTGCAACCCCCAATCCCCAAAGACAGCATTTTCAATCCAACTGCTTCAATTACATCACATACTATGGAAACATTGTACCATTGCCATGCTACCCTCCTCAAAAGCTATTGATGAATTTCCGGATATCAATAATCCCCTAATCTTGGTTCCTCACGGTGAAGATGACTTAGAGGAATCAGTCAGTTTAAGTATTTAATCATGCCATCATATAGAATGTTATTTCTGAATAGTCTTTGGAAATGATTTGGACTTGTCATTAGAGGAAGCAGTTAGGTCAAGCTGTTGATGCATTCCAGGAAATGCTTAAAAGAGAGAACAAATTATTGGCCCAGGTGATGAGATTGGAACCATTAGGTGAACTAGCTGACATTTGCCCCAAATGGTATGGACAACAAGTTGATGGTAAAAGAGAAGGACAGCCAGATTAGATCAGACACCTCAAAGCAAGTTTCGAGCACTCTGAAAATATCAAAACTCCCAGCCTTTTTGTTCAGCCATGTGAAGTATCTGAGATGAAAGAATCACTTGCACAATTGCCACAACCATCCCAAACACTGAAAGAAACACTGAAAGGTAATGTGATGAGATATTTAAAACCATCAAAAGCAATTACAACTAAGAGTGACATCAAGATTCATTTATACACAACAATGTAGGACAGGTGCACTGAGCAGCACACAGCCGCCAATGACACAAGAAATGGAGCTACTTGGAAGTTGTGATGATACTGGACTATTTGGGATGGCTTGCTGGCATGATCAACATTGTCAAGAGTGGTGAGAAGTATGTATGTTCATTAAATTTGATAACTCAAGCCCATAAATAAGGCCTTTTATAATTATATCATATGTTTTATCAGATTGTACTTGCCTTTAACCATGATTAACCACATGGTACAGGTCACCAAATAAGACCAGAAGCTAGCTTTCCTGTATGATATAGGATGCAACATTGAGAAAGGAATCATCCAAGTCTGTATCTATTTTTTATCCTATCCACCTCCAGGGGATTTGATTCAAGGACGATTGAGGTGGCTCTTGTCCAAAATCCAGCAGAATCAATTTCCATACAAGATGACTCATCATCTGCTCTGGTTTGGCACAAGTGTTTTCCATGCATATGTGCATGCTGCCAGCTCCAACACAGTCCAAGATTGAATTACGGGTGGGTAATGTCAGGTGGGGAGGGAATGGAGCGTCTATGGTCTTATTTGTTGCCATTGAGCAGCCAACTTGGTTGCTCAACCAAGAATCACTGACTTTCTGCAATTGATGAATCATCATCATGAAAATGGAAGAAAATCAGCCTGTGGGTTTTTTGTGTGTAAAGTATTCCTTGTTCAATTTGTTTACTTTTGGAAAGAGGTAAGCAAATTGAAGTAATTTTGAAATGAAAGAATCACAGAAAACCCTGTCAGAAGTGGAGAGGTCATCTGGTCACACATTAATGTTGTATTTGAAGGACTAATGGAATTGACAGAGGCAAATGCAACATCACCTCCTTGTCCGTGTGTTAGAATCAGAGATAGAAAATATCATTCATGAGCTGGGTTTGGAATATTTCTGCAATCTTCCTGGGAATTCTGGTCAATCATCACATTACTTTCTACTCAATCAAATAAAGCCAAAATAGCGAAGACTGAGACTTGACTACTTGCACAGGTGAAGAACAAACTACGTTGTTGGTAAAATTAAAAATCAAAAATTCAAAGCTATATGAGGCAAAGGCTGGAGTGATTAAGCTTCAAAAAGATTGGGATGAATGTGGATCAGGCAAGTAAATACATAACTTTATCATGCATGTGGCCCTCCTCTTATAATTTTTCCCTAAAAAAAATAGGCACCCAGATACAGGCACATTTCAAGAAGCAAATGAATTCCAAAATGAAGCTTCTGAAGAACAAATGGTTCTCATACAATCACCAAGCAACCAATTATAATACAACATATACACCCAATCCTTTTTTACCAACCCCAACATTCAATGAAGTCAAGTCATTTCAAATCAACAATTCATTCTGGAACATCGGCTTGCTGGATCATCCAAATGAGCCCTGGGCCATTGACATGGAAACACAGAAAGGTATTAAGGCATATCTCACATTAACCAAATGTGATGATCAGTTGTGCTGCTGTATATTACAGGAAGCAAGGCAGGATTTAAATTGGGCTGTGAATATGGTAGCCAAGGTCAAGAATATTTTGGAGGCATTGCTCGTGGGTGTGTATAATTTTAGGAAAAATATTCAAGTGGATCTATAATCTGATTAAAACTTTTTTGCCTCTACATAGATGTGCAAGAGACCGATGTTCTGACCAAGACTCAGCAGGACTTACAGGATATTTGCACAGCCAAAAATCCACCAAAGTCAGTTATGGAATTGGTCATTTCTAATGCAACAAACAAGTTCTGCTATGTAGGCTATGGATAACGTGGAACTCTAGCTGTAATCAGGTCTTACTGTGGAGTCAGCAGTGGATTGATGAACCAGATCATTGAGCCAAGAGAAAAATGGGACAATGTCATTGTGAAGAACATAAAATGATGAGTATTTAGAATTATAGCCATTTTAATATTACTTTGATGTGCTAAAGTTGAATTGATGATATTTAAATGATAAATACACCATGCGGTCTCTCACCTCTTCACTGGCCAAAAAGATAAATGATTAAGTCTATGTGTATGAATGATTGAGCTCATTAATTGTTATTATTGACGTAACATATCATACAGTTCACATTGCATACCTTTATAACCTAGCCAACAGCTGCTGGAGCAGACTGAGCTAGCTGACAGAGCTGGGTCCACCGAGCTGGCTTGGACAGCTGGTTGGGCTGACAAAGCTGACTGGCTGAGCTGACTACGGGAGCTGGCTGAGCTGGCTAGGACAGCTGACTGAGCTGAATACAAGATCTGGGTTTGAGAGATGTTGAACACCTGATGGGCCCGGTTTCAAGAGCGGACAGAGCTGACTACAAGAGCTGGCTGAGCTGGGTTGGAAAGACAACTGATCTGAGTGAGCTGGGTCCAAGAGCTGACTGATCTTGGTCTGAGAGCTGACTTGAGCCAACTGAGCTGGATGTGCTGGGTCCAAGAGCTGACCAAGCTTGGTGAGCTGACTGAGCTGGGTCCTGAGCCAACTGAGCTGGGTCCAAGCGCTGGCAGAGCTGAGCCCAAGAGCTGAATGAGCTGAATGAGCTGGCTGAGCTGGGTCCAAGAGCTGGATGAGCTGGGTCTGAGATCTGAGTGAGCTGGGTCTGAGAGCTGAGTGAGCTTGTCTGAGAGGTGACTTGAACTGACTGAGCTGGCTGATCTGAGAACGTTGGGCAAGCTCAGCTCCAGCCCTCTTCCATTCCAAATGGAAGATGCCTACATGAGTTTCCTGCATTTGAGATGGAAGGATTTTGTAGCCAGGGGTGGACAGATTGTAATGGGAGTCAAGTTGATGAATAAACACTGTGATCTCAGCCAGGTGCCAACATTTGCCGTATGGATTAAAGTGAGACATGTTTGATCAGATGTGAGTGGATGAGAGGAAATGGTAAGAGACTGAGTAGGAGGAAGTTGGAGATGGAAGACCAAGCCAAGTGAAATTGAGGAAGGGGTTGTCAGAGAGGTATGTAGATGGGAAAACGCAAGGAGACCAACATAAAGGTAATGAGCAAAATCCAAAGGAAGATTTACAATGTTGGTGATTTGCATGTAAGCCAACCTCCCCGGCCTCAAAGTATAACAGGTCTTCTGACCAGACTGTAATTCAACACCTCTTGACACCAATACCAACATCAAACATTTAGAGTGCCATGGTCATGATCAAAAGAGGTGCTTCCCTATCTGGAGTTTTGAGTTGTGGAAGCATCTTTAGCTTCAAGTGTTTTCATTGTTTTCACAAGATACTACAAGACATGAAAGCTCAGCTCACTGCTCAAGAGACTGCAAACCACAAGGACACCTTCAAAAAAGTACAAAATGCCGTGGAAGCCAATGAGTATGGACGGCTGCATTGGAGATGTTTGTAAAGTTGCATGGTGGCTTGAACAACATTAAGATGCATTGTTTGGTAAATTATCAGAGTCACATTCACAAGCAGCTGAAGAACCCATTTGAGAGGCAGTTGTTGTTTTGATGGATCAAGCTTGTGGGGATTTTTGCAACTGGTTAAATCTTGGAATTCCAGTAGAAGTCATAGCGACACCAAGCAAGAAAGCCCACCAAAATTGCACGGACTAGGATTAAACACTGCACTATATACTATTTTTCTGTATCTCCCAAAAAGAAAACTAATATATAAAAAATATTGGAATATTTTTTTGATATCCTTCATCCTCCCACATTCAAGAACCAACTGCACTTTTTTGGCTTCTCTTAACCAAGACGATCCATATGTAAATCCTTGAAATAAGCATATTTGGAGCTGTTTGCAGTGCAGTTTTTATTTACCCTTAAAATTGGCTTGTTTCAATGCTTTAAATGTAGATATTATTCTTGAAGAGAAACCAAAAAAGTGCAGTTGATTCTTGGATGTGGGAGGATGAAGAATATCAAAAAATATTCAAGGATTTTTGACCCCTTTGTTTTCATTTTGGGAGATATAGAAAAATAGTGTGTAATGCAGTGTTTCACCCCTGCCAGTGGAGATCCAAATACACTTGCTGGGAATCAAATCTTAGACTTGTTGAGCAGCGATCTTATTGGTATCATTAAGAAAGGCAAGCAAGAGGTAAATCCAGACATATGGAGACTAATGCTTGGAGAGGCCACTAGCTGATGTCAATATGTCTGTCTGTACAATGCAGGGATCATCTGAAAGTGAATGTTGGGTAGGTGGAAACAAGACTGCTAAATTTGGAGTGATGAACTGATTGAGTCAATGGCATGTTGTCCAGCAGTGGCCTAGCTTGTAACCAAGGGCAAACTTAGGGTGAACTAGGATACATAAATATTCTGTCTATACATCAAGGATACACATTACATATGTATACCCATATCTAGACCCTATTGTACTCTTCATTTTCACTCTTCAGGTCTTTGTAGCATTGAGTTTAGCCAATTGTGCTGTGCTGGGTGTGTCCTTCCCCTGTATCCCCAGTCATACAGTTTGTCATAAATATATTTTAGAATATATGTATGTTGCCTATTTCCACACTCTACGGTTTTTCTATTGTACCAGTTTCAACTCTATCACAATCTCACAAAAGTATCACCAGTATCATAAATAAATTGAAATCAAATTTGTTGATTATATTGCAAAAATAAAGTAACACACAAACAACATCCAAATTGCACAGAGGAGAAAAGAATCAATGAAATTAGACAAAGAAAGTGAAAACAAGATTGAGAAAGAAGTAAAAATAAGGTTGAGAGAGAAAAACCAGATTGAAAAGTAATTTGAGAATCTAAAACAGCAGGCTGATGGATGGAGTCCAAGCAGACTCTCCTGTGCCTCTGAAGAAGCCACTGAAAACTTTGTGCATAGATATTCACCAAACCAGCAAGAAAAAAATTAGTTTGGTAGATACAGAATTGATGACCATTGTACTTCAGGTGCACCTAAATACCACAAGATCATTACGGCACTTTGCCCAAGCTTCTGACCATTCTTGAAGTGTGCTGCCAATTAGAAATTCAGCAGGGACTTGTCCCTCAGGTCTTTGAATATAGTTGATCTACATTGGAATGCTAAAGCTGTAGTAGATAGCAAGCCCTTGAGTGACCTGGGAGAACTGAGCCTGGGTTAGGACACCTTAGAAGCCCTGTTGCCAAGAAGTCTTCAAAGAGCCACTGCAGCCCAAGCTTGGTGAAGCGCTTGGCAGAAGATTTCTCTACCAGAAATCCAGGCCCAATTGATGAGCCAACCACATACACCTACCCAAAAAATACAGGTAATGTGACACACCCACTAATGCAGAGTTTGCTAAATGTCAATTTTTTGGTTTGGCATCAACGGCTCTAACAAAAACCAAGTCTAATATGTATATGTTATATCATCATCAGGATGTGCTATCTGGTTTGGTATAGCTTTAAACTAATTAGTAGAATTAAACATACCATTGCTGCTCTCAGAGTTTGACTCTGATTTCAATTTAGATACACCCTTGCTGCCGTTGGAGTCTGAGTTTGGCTTGGTTTTCCCCTTCAAATTGGATGCCATATCCCCGCTACGGCTGGTGTCTGAGTTTGACTCTGATGATAATAGTGAGCTTTTATGCCCCACTATCTATTGAGAGAAGGAGATGATGAACATACCTCTTGGTCCAGACTTGATAGACAATAGAGTTTGTTGGTTGGGCTTGATATCATCTTCAAACTGAAAAGATAGCAGGGTTTGTTGGTCGGGCTTCTTGATGTCCTCTTCAGACTTGATAGATCACAGGGTTTGTTGGTTGCGCTTGATATCATCAGTGGTGACCAGCTCAAAACCTATATGGAGAACAGGCACGTATACCGATGAGAATTGCATCCATAAATTCAACTGACTAGCAAGGTCAAAATTGGATGCACTGCTCTTACTGAGCTCAGAGTTTGAATCTAATCTGTAGTTTGGTTGCATGTTGGAGTATGTTGGCTATATTAGCATGATGAAGCCTGATGGTGGCTATGGAGAGGCAATGAGGTTTAGCTTAGTTAGGAAGTAGACCTGATATATATGTACCCTCCATGTTTCCATACGTTTGATTGGATGTACCGGAAAACTTTGCAATGGCTTGAGTATGACCCATGCGCCATTGTTGGACTTGGAGGCTGATTGGTGTGCTTTGTTACTTTTGAGCCAAGAATTTCAAAGTTTAAAGTGAGCTCTTGAGAGCAACCGCATCAGTGCGGGTGTTGTAACTTCAGGAGAAGCGGAGTAGTTTAATCCTGGATTAGTGCTACTCCGGGTAGGCAGCTGCATTGGGGTGGTGTAAGCCTGGGAGTAGCCGGGGTGGCGCGCATGTTGAGTGTGCCGATTGGCTCTTGATCCCTGGATTAGCAAGGAGTAACTTTACTCCTGCTTAGCTCAAATCCTACTCCGGGATTAGTTTAGTCCAACTAACTCAAACCCAATGTGGTTGAGGGCTCGGACTAGCTTGGAGTAGTTACACTAATCCGGCCTTGATCCAGCGACTGATGCGGTTGCTCTGAGTATGTACATGCCTATGTCATAGCAAGGCCATGGAACACACACTGTCACACAAAAAGAAAATTCTTTTGGTATTTTCAGAATCTCAATGAGGTTGAGCAGCCCCTTGAGCTCTCAGACAATGAAAGGACAGACTCTTTACCCCATGAACAACCCTTTCCATCAACAACAGCAACTCACAATAATATACCACCCTTACATTTGCCATTATCCACAAATGTTCACATCACAGCAACCTGTCCAATGGCGACTCACAGACAACTCAATACATAAAAATGTACCCTCCTCTACTTGATCCACCAACCATGTGACCACATCTTTTGTCTTTGAATCAATGCTCAAAGGCTGATATCTCATCATCAAACCACCATCAAAATCTCAATCAACCTGAGGGACTATGGCTTCTGGCAGATCTGCCAACCCTCACTCAACTGCCCTTTCCCCACTGGCCATGGTCCACACCCCTGTTGAACTCTATCCCAGCTCAAAGTCTTTACTAATTTTCAAGAATCAACTGTTTTCCTTGAAGTTAAGCCATGTGTCATGGTTTGAGTGTAATTCTTTGCGGGGGGGAACCCGAATGAAGTACAGATATAGGTGACTGCTTTTAGCTAGCTTGCAAGCTAACTGTTGCTAGATCTAGCAATAGTTAGCCAATTACCCTAAGGAAGCTCTTTAATTGTTATATTTTTAATATTTTATTCATGGTGATTGATACACCCATGGTTCTTACTCAAATATTATAACAAAATTCATTCTTCCCATGTAACATTAATATGCCTGTAAGAAACTAGTGGGAGTCCAAATTGATTCACAACCAGCAAAGTTAATTTTGAATTTTGTGGAAAGATCAAGATAAAAAGCATGAATAAGGAAGCATTCAAAGGAAATATAAGGAAAGATATATTTGCTTATATTCAATATAAGATATTCATTTTTTGACTTTATTCACATAATGGGGGGTATCAAATATAACCAAATCCACCATTAATTAATTGACTGGTTTGAAAAAATCCACCCTTTTTTAAACATGTTGGTTATCCATTTAACCTCTTTTGGGGCCCATTTATGCAAAAAAAAGTTTTTGGAAAAGTGACTGGTTTCTGATGGTGGATTTCCTATATTTGATACCCCCTAATATAAGGCACATTGCCCACATGCATATTTGGTTTACTAAAAAACTCCTCAGCTAAAGCTCTATCTAGAATATTAGTTGTTTTCTGTGCAGCTTGTAAAGACATTCCTAATTTAGTCAAGTCACTACTTTCAGTTGGCTTGAGTGTTCCATGAGTATACAATCTTTGAGAAAATATTATCTGAACCATTGGCCAGTAACATTGTATCCATCAGATTTGAAAGCCAGCTGGCCCTTAGACTTGAACGTTGGA